TGCGATATATTTTTTCCCTGATGAGGGAGAGGACAGGAGATGCGAGTCTGAGTCGGGACTGTAGTCTTGCCCATCCACGATTTCAAATATTTCAAGGGTCGAAATGGATGGGAAAAATTAGGGGATATCTAATAAGATTGTTTGAAAATTTCATATTCCAGTGATTCAGGTAAATTTGTAATTGGTGTTTCATCCTTTCGCTGTAAACACAGGCAGAGAATCGGATGCGAGTAAGCGTTGGAATCGTCGGTGATCGTTGAAAACGATTGTTTATTCAGGCTTGCTGAAAAACTGACCAGCTGAGGTTGGGAATCTATTGAGACCGTTGGTCAAGCTAAGTTTTGCACAAATTCGTAATTAACTTATAATGAATTTATGAAAAAAAAGATGAATCTTCACAAAAATTGAACTTGTTGCAACTTAGAAGCGTAAAAACATTTGTATAGATGGTCAATGCATGAAGCTGTTTTAAGTGAATTATGTTGAAAGGTCTTAATTTCGACTACAGTAACATTTTGGAGGTAAAGCCGAGTAGAGCTAGATTCTTGTCTTTCGTTAAGTTGTGTTATATTAGTAATAATTTAAACAAAAGGACTAGAAACTTTTTGTATAAAACTTATCACAGCTTTTAGTATCTAATCTGTCAGTCATAAGTATAATAAGGAATAATAATTTGAGACGGCACAATCGTGCTTTTTTCTTACTATCTGTTGGTATAAAGAACTGGAAGTTATAAGGTTTGGAATTTAGAATTTGCAAGACAATCCAAATTTAAATCTGAAATCATGAACCAGGATACAGCTGAGCTTGGAAAATTTACTACAAAGTGTTTACTTCAAACTGTTTGATAGGAAGATATTGCAAAACTGTAAACTTACAGCTTCCCTAGTTATCGAATATTAAAGTTAGGGTAAACTAATCAGAGGACAAGTTAGTGGCCCAAAAAAATTTTTAAATATTTGAAATTTCAGTGGCAGCGATCTGTCTAAAGTACAATATCTCAAACTCAAAAGCGAGGGCATTTGGATTTCTTCGTTCTTCTTTCTCCACATCTTGTTCATTGTCCATTTTGCTTTTTCAGTGAGTGAGCCGTGACAAATATTTTATTTCTATTCGTCCAAAATGTGCACTAATCATGCAAGCTAAAGAAAAAACACTATCATCCCAGCCAAGTAGGAAACGGCCAAAACACAGCCAGCATAACCATACATGTTAAACTGTAAAGCAACGTCTATTTATACTGTTAACGATCTGATTGCTTCAGGTTTACAGAATAGGCTTGATCGCACCAGAACTCCGGTGCGAGTTGCTGTATGAACTCTGCACAGTTTGAAACAAGGTGGGCGAACCAATATTTTATTCTACTTTTTTTGAAAAAGAGATGAATACTCGCCTCGCTAAATCACTGAATTTGTGTGCATTCAAGAGAAGCACGCGATTCCGAAGACACAAGCTTTAGTTAGGCAAAGAATGATCACAGCTTGGATTCAGCACTGGGGTGGAGGGAAGATTATGAACCGCCTAATAAATTCAGTGAATCTCGTAAAGGTTGCGTAGAAATTAGAATAACCTATGCTGCACCATGACTTCCTCCTAGGTAGGTTGCGAAGCGGCCTGCGTAAGGCAGCTGTGTTTGTATTGTAAGGCAGTGTCGATTCATGGTGGTGTTGTGAAGACAACCCGGACGTTTCACGAAGGGCGCGTGTCCTACTACCGCGAACTATCGCCAAGGAGTCGACAACCTAACTCGACAAGCCGGAGCATCGAGGCCACCAACTCAACACCTAAACAGTGAATAAAATTTTCTTTGATTGGGAGTAAATAGGCTAGGACACATGGTTATGGCGTGACAGTGGCAGCGAACTAGTCAGTGTCAGAGTACAGAAGTACACAAACGCCTCTATATCCAGTAACGTCAGGAAGATGCTGTACTGTGTTTGTTCGCTTAAGCGCTTGTATGGCATGAACCAGTTTCAGCCTAACCAGCGGTTGGTAATACAGTAAAGGTCATGCAAGTATGTGTGCAAAAAAGCAAAATGTGCACTGTACAAAACAAATATGAATAAAAAGAAATATAAATAATGATTTGATTTATCACGAAAACTACTTTGCATGCATCTTTTCGGCTTTGCCATGCAGCTTAATATGAAGCAACGCTTTAGTCCTGTCAACTGCTCTGAAATCACATTCGGCACAGACGAATGTTTGTTCTTTCCCTGGATCCGGATTCAAAGTCCTGAAACTTAATGAGAATCTGACTAGCACGTAAACCAAGAAGAAGTGTGTTTGAACCGCACAGATTCGAAGTAGTGCGAGCAATTAGTTGCATCTTGAATACTAAGGACCGTTGAAGTAGAAGCTAACACTTCACGATCATGTACTTTTATGCCTTTTGTGGGAGCGCATCTGGTAAATAAGTTGTAGGTGCATACAGCAGTATTTCGCGCAATGTAATTTCCATAAAATTAACCGGAAAAAAAAGCTAAAATAATTCTTAAATCAGCTTTCTCTGTTCCATTTTGTAGGACGAACCCAGCTTTTGGAATTCAGTTTGTTCCATTTTAATGCTACAAAGATAGCCTGTATCGCACCTTGTAACCAAACCCTTCATTCATCCAAACCAAGAAGTTTGATTTCACTCTTTTTTTGGCATTTAGAGCGACTCATTAAAATTTGGAATTTTTAGTCTTCTAGCTTGCTCCATTTAACATTTGTCATTCATACAGAACATCTGCTTAAAGTCTCGATTTTAACAAATATAGGTGTAAAAGTTAGTATGATTCTTTTCTTCGCGTTATACACCTATCAATCTTCGAAAATTTGATGCTCATGTCTAATCCACTAAGATTAATAAGACCAGCCCAAATATGAATTAGGATTGATTTCAAAATCTAAAAATCCGACTTGTGACCATCTAAAAGCCTGATTTGTGACATCCACGTGCCAGATGACCAACGTATCCAATCCATCGATCTTGAGTTAAACACTCAAATATTACGTGTACGGAAAGGCAGAAGTAATTTCACGTATTCATATGCAGCCGGAGCAGGAAGAAATGTACTAACATTTGATTTTGCTTTGCAGGGATAACTTTCGGTATGGCGATTTCTTCAAATTTTGCGTGACTTCTGCAAAAAAAAGTTTTTATTTCTAGCTGTCTAGACCACATTTTTCAACCTAAGATTGATACTGATCGTTGAAATGCTCAAAAATCAGTTTTCTATACTCTGCAAATTCATCTTTCCCGATGTTTTAGGAATTAAACGCCAGTTAACACATTATCCTCATTAAAAAAAAAATGCTGTTCCATATCTGACAGACAATGTTTGTCCGTACCATGGGTTAACTTCCTCTTCTTTCTGTCTTCTCTTACGCTCTTTTTTCTCTCCTCGTTTTCTCTTTTCTTCGCATATTCGTTTTGCAAATTAATCACTTGACTGTTTAGTACATAGCGTGTAGGAGGCTGTACTGATGATTTTCGCTTCTATCTGTACACAAAGTCCGGTCTATGTTTACAACTAAGGGATGAAACACAGACTGCATCTTAACACTGTGCATGACCTTAGTCCAGTTCCTTCAGTGTACTATTTAATAACGAAATCACAAAATCACACTTTTCGAAGGATGATAAAAGGTACCCAACAACAGCAGCTCGCGCTTCATCAGTGCAATCAACAAATTTCAAGCGTTTAGCTAGTGGCGGCATCGAATCTGTCGGCGAAACGCACGTAGCTGCGGAGGAGCTTCCAGGAAGTGAAATGCGTTCCTGCTGTTCCAACTCTGCGTAATGTTTTGTGGCATCTTTGGATGACTGAACAATGCTTGATGTTGTGTTAGAGGGATTGCAAGCATTATAATGTTTCTGGAGATGTGGCAGCAGACGTTCAATGCATCCGAAGCCCTGCTCACAGAAATTGCAGTGATAGTGGTGGCGCCTTTTCAGCTTACAGAATGGTCTACTGCAATACGCATCGACTGGATTCGAATACACAGACGCCGGTGTTGCTGATAACAAGCACTGCAAAACGCATTGGTGAAAAATAAAAGTTCTTTGAATATCGCTTACAGCGGGCTGACCGAAACAGTAACTTGAAAAGAAAGGAGCATCAAATACTTAGGTGTATTGGGTTCTCGAGAGGAACTTTTTTAGCGAATTACTGC